CCCCCCCCCCCCCCCCCCCCGGGGCGGGGGCGCGAGCAGCCGAGAGAGACGCGCTTGTTAAGTCCTGCCTGGAGTTCGTCTGCCTTCCTGAGATCGGCGCCGGCGAAGGAGGTAGGAGCCGAGCGGGGAGGAGGAGCCAGAGCCCCAGCCCACGCCGCTCCATCTGCGGCGCTGGGAAGAGCTCCTCGGCGTCAGTCTGCTACTGCCCCTCGCTCGGAGCACGATGCCTGGGATCGTGCAGTGACACCGGAGCTTTGCGCTCCTGCCCGGCAGGGTAAGTTCAGTGGCCAGCCGCCGCTGCCGCCTCTGTGGCCCGATCCAGCCTCCAAGTTCTTTTTTTCCCGGCTTCCTTCCCGCGATTGTTTCGCGTAGCATCAACGCTCGTGAGCTAGTTTCAGAACAGATCTGCCCCCCGCCCCGATCCCTAAAGCGCTGTGCTTCCAGAACGCTCACTCTCAGCCAGTTTTCATCTGGCAGCCCCTTTGCTTTCTGCAGTGGGTACTGCCCTGTGTCTAGCCTCCCTGGCCAAGAAGGCGCCGGGTTCAGACCCTTTCCACGATCTTCAGCTTCGGCTTGCCTGCACCTCCAGTCACAGTTTTGGCTCGCAGGCTTGGGCAACATCTACCTGTCATCTGCTCCAGGAAAATGCCTTCCACTTGGGTTTGCTACTTAACAAGGTGTTAGGCAGTTTAGCATCGGGGTCCCCCTTTCTCAGGTTAGCAGGGAAAGCGCTAATGATGACTGCCTACATATCGGGGTGGTGGAGGATGGGGAGAGGCCCATCCTTTCCAATCTACTTCAGGATGAATGAATGGGAAATTGATTTCTTTGGTCTCCAAGAATTGAGGGTGGGGTGACTGGATGCACGCTTTCTTCCCTTCTCCCCTATCCCAAGTTCTATTTTCAGATGCCGCTGATTGGAAATAAGCAATCTTTTTCATAATGAAGTATGTTGCGTGAAATACAGCATATCTTCTCCCATCCACCCCTTTCATTATGGGTTTCCAAATTGCTGTTATTTCATACCATCACCTCGTGGGACGAGCTTTGATCTACTTTGCACACTTCTGAAGTAGGGGCTCTCCAAAGTTTGTTAGATGGGCTTCTTCAAGGAGCCACCAGGATTGCTAGCTCTTCCTCCTCCCCCTGTTGAGCTCTAATGATTGATAGAAGCTGCGATGGATTCTTCTGCTTGTAATATTGGCCTGCTAGGCTACAGGGTGTCCTCTCATCTTCCAGTTAATCCACTGACCCTTGCTTCTCTATGAACCACAGTTAAGATGAATCTTGTACTTTGCTGGGGCTTGTGCTGTTGTGGTCTCACCTTTCTATTCTAGTCTATCATTTCCTTAGATGTGAATTAGAAGTGAGAGCCACTTGCTGAACTGCCTCCCTTGATTTTGTCTCAGCTAATTGAGCGTTTGCAAATGCTCCCACTTGACCTAGAGAAGCTCAGAGAATAAAGCTGGAGGAACTTTGAATCTACAGATGCATGAAACAATTGGCACTCCATCCCTTGGCAGAAAATGCAGGGGTAATATGTGCAAGTCAGTCCCAAACTCACGAAACTTTCTTGCTGGGCACTTTTTCCCCCCCAGAAAAATGTTTAGAAACAGCTTGTTGTCTGAAGGTGGTTATTCAAAAGGTTGAATCAAGAAACATCTTCCTTTCTGTATTCTGTGTACACCTCAGGCAAAAGGTAGTTCTTAAGTTATAGATTGTGGGATTGACTGAAACCAATAGGTGCTTTCAAGGATAGGCTGCGCCTACAGCATAGAGCTGGTGAGATTAATGTGACTGGCAAAAATTTCCCAAATTAACTGTTATGGGGCTGGCATGCTAGGTCAGAATCCCCAAATTAGAAGACTTAGACTTTAATGCTTTAGGACAAGGCCTTCACATAAAAATAGCTGGCATAGAACATGAACCTTACGAGTAATACCACAAACATGTCTGGAATCTATCTAGTTTTCTCCATGAATGAATGCTCCTCAAGAATGATTTGAAGATGACATAGGAACTTTGCTGAAACTGAGTGGGTTTTGATCTGATCAGGACAAATCTGTATGCACTGGCTGGGTGGTTTGTAGCTTAGAACAATGTGTGAAGTAACCATTGGAGATTATTCAGTAAACCATGGCTAAGCAAACCAAACTTTAATATTTATGAATTTGATAGCATATTTCTCTTGCAGTGTTTAATGTTCTTATGTCTAGATTGTATTGAGGCAGATGGACCAATTAACTGACAGTATATTAGAGTTACCAATATTACCTAAAATGCTTGAAAAGCCAGAGCTAAGGAACCACAATAATAATATCTACAATATTAAGTGTATCTAATAGCACTTCCATATTTGTCCGAAGAGATCATAATGCCCAGTGTTGTTTTCACCTATACACATCAGCATATATTCTCCAACTTGCAGCCCTCCAGATGTGTTGGGTTATAACTCCCAACATTTATAGCTAATATAGCCAAAGGGAATTATTGAAATTGTAGTCTAACACATCTGGAAGACACTAGATTGAGGAAAGTTTCCATATGTATCTATAGTGAAACTTAATGATATCAAGTAGATGGCTTTCTCATACTATCTGTGAGTCAGAGAATGTCCTTCACCATTGAATAGTGACACCTTTCATGCAGTCATTATTCTGTATTTGCATTCCTAGTTTTACTTGGGATTCATAATTGTAGAAATTAGATTATCAGAATTCGCCATGAGAGTCCAGATGAAGATTAGTAGTGTATCTGTTTTGCTTGGAGAACTTCTCATCATCTCCAGGTAGAGCTGGGGGAAGATCCCTTTCTGAGCAGGGCTCAGCAACTTTTGGGGCCCTGTTATATGGTGATCTGGATGCCTCCCTCAGATTATTGAGATCTTGGGCAAAAAAGCTCCAGTTTCACATGGTTTTATCAGTTTTACAATGTTGGGCTCAGGGGACTTTTTGGCTGTCTTACCATGTTGTAGTCTCTTGATCTGGAGATATTAGTGGGATAGGTAAGACTGATGACCTGAATTAGAGTAGATGGATGTAAGGTAGCTTCCTATTTCATTTTTGCAGTGACTTGTATAGTAGTACTATTTTCCTAGTTTCTGCTAGAGATGTCATGTCTGATATATCCTGGCATTTTAGTTTGCCTGTTTTGTGCTCCATGATATCTTTTTGTGGTTCCCACCCCTCTCCTGCTTTCTACTGAGGTAAATATAGTGAATATAGAACTGTTTGAATTTCCGCATTTACAAATATGGTATGGAGTTTTGTATTTATTTTCATTGTATACAATCTGATTCCTAAAGTATTTTATTTCCTCCTGCATAACTTTGCACCCTTCTCTCTGTCACCTGTACCTCTCAGCATGGTATCATCCAATTTTTTCACTAGCATTCTGTTCTTTTCTTCCTGCAAGGGTACTCAGGAAAATGCCAAATAAAACAGGATCTGTGTCAAACTCCACTAGATAGTTTTCCCTCCCCACTCACCCCCTAGCTTCAAAGTTTGTTTTAGATTAGGATTATCATGCCTATCAAACACACGATTCATTTAACTCTGTGCTCTGTCTATCAGCACTAGACACAATGAAACCTTGGGAGAGGCACAATTGGGATATATAACAACATCTCAACTTTGTTAATCCCTGATATCTAATGTGGCATTTCTGAATATCTTTACCTTACAATTCTTTTCAAGTAATTTATTCACATATTATGACTAATGAGTTCCATAGACAGAGTTCCTGAAAATTGATGACATAGTATTCTACCATTTTATGCTGGAGAATCACTAAAACGCTGTGATGTAATTCCTAAACTAAATGTAACTCTGTTCATGTCATACACAAATATATACAAAATCCAATTGTTCCCCACTCCAAGAAAATAGCCAACTGGGATATGGTTGTTGGGGTCTACATCACCCCCCACCTCAAGTTAACTGCAGCTCCTCCTGCAGGTTGCCCATCTTGATCTAAAGATATACTACCCTTTTGTCTTAGACCTGCTTGCCTCCACTTCCTATGGATGATTAAGTGAGGTCTTGATGATTTCTGCCTGCTCTCTGAAGCAGGTAAGATGTCATCCTCAATCATGTTTTCCTTTCTTTTTCTATCCTTTTTCTATCCTTCTTTCCTTTTTAACCTATTTCCTAAATGCCTGTTTTCTGGTTACAGTATTTGGGAATGCAGAGAAGAGGTTTATCTGCAGAGAAAAATCAACAGATGGGAGGACCCG